CAGGCCTTCTAAATCTTAGTCTATCACTCTATCCACTACACCACACCGGATATCCTATGAAATGTGACTACAGCATCTTTGTAAAATTTGCATATTGTTTCCATTTCTTTAAATATTTTTCGGCAGCCTTCTTCACTCAAAACTCTCCCAATGCGGCTAAAATAAATGTAACTTACGAATATTTGAAATAAGACCCACTGTGTTTAGTGGAGACTGTTTTCAAATGAGCAGCAACAGGAACTCCATCTTCAAATGTAGAAATGGAAAAACAGGGGATTTGATGAGATGTTTTTCCCATGGAACCCAGCTTATGGCTAGTTTTTACTATCCTGGTTTGTCCAGACATAATATGCTACAATCTCAGGTTCAGGATTTCACACAAAGCTACCTCTTCCTGAATTATCAGCTGATACAAAATGGGAATCCATGCACTACATATTGAAGTCTGAACCCCAGAATTAATAGCCACAGTCAAGCTGTCATGTTCCGGATGGGAATGGTGGGATGAAAAATTCTATCAATCCTCTTTGATTCATATAACATGTAGGACAAAGTTCCATGATCATCCACAGAAATACATCTTGCACCTCTCTGCCCCATCAATATATATATATATTTTAAAATCTGTACTGTTTATTAAGGAGAGGGATTTTTTTTTAAAAAAAATGACAAGAATACAAGCCAGTCTGGACATGCTCCTATTTTCATTACCATCATTCCACAACACTGAGGTGAGTGGTAGAATCTGCTTTTAGGGGAGGGAAGGATATTAAGTACCTTGCTGCCTTTGATTGTACAGCACCTAGCAGGAAATAAAACACAAGGCTTTTGAGCAGAGTAAGATGGAAAAGCTATACAGAGGGAGGTGTGGGGGAAGAAACTATTAAAAAGCCATAACATACAGTGGAGCAATACTGAGGAGTTGCTCTCCGTGGCGTGGTGCGCCTCCAAAGCTATATTCAGTAACTGAAACCCGTCTCACGGCCCCAGTGTGCAGGACTTTCATTATGTTCTTTTATGATCTTCCTGTTTGTATTAGCACCAGTAAAGTGATGTAGAACTTCAATAAAGGAGGAATAACCAGGCCTCACTTTTCATTTGGTGCCCTGGCCCAAATCAACAGCATTCGCCTCTGCCCCCAACCAGGAGAAAAAAACCAAATCATTTTGCCAGATGTTTTAAATTAACAGGGTTTCTCTGTCTCCTTTCCTTTCTTCCTCACTCTGTCCCTCTCTGGATATCGGAAAGCATTTATTGTGCTCACATTCCTGAGACCATTTCATCATGAGCTTTAAATGTTGTCTTTTAAGCCGCCTTGTGTCCTTTTTTAAAGAGAAAGGCAGGGTAAACATATTTTAAATAGATAAATAAATAATTGTTTCTTGAGCACAAGAAGACAAACCCTATCCTTTCCTGCAGCGGGCATGTAGTTTTGGATTGATCCATTCAGCTTTATATATAGCAAGACCATGCCACTGAAGTAGCCTGCTTCTGATAAAAGAATAATCTAATTATATTAGCATTTTAATTTGTTTTAATTTTATTATATTTCACATATGCCCATAAAGTTAAACTGTGCAACACCCAAATATAAATAAAGGAAGGAAGGAAGAACACCAAGAATTTATTTACAGAGCTATGGTTACTCTTTAGTTCTGCAGTAATGGGCCCAAGGTGACATTGGGTGAACTACAAAATTTTTATTCATTCATTCATGCATTCATTCGTTCATTCAGTGCAAACTCATAGATCTTATGCCTCTAATACACAAGCTTTGAAATGCATAAGGGACACCTAATGACACCTTAACTAAATTCCAGCAGCCAAAAGTGAAGCTTCCTGTGTTTTTAGACTGGAATTCCCATGAAACCTAGCCAGCACGACCAACAATCCACAGGATAAGAGTTTTAAATTAAAACACATGAACTACAGTTGGCAGCCAATGTGGTGTAGGGGTTTGAAAAGTGGACCAGGATTTGCGAGACCCAGGTTCTAATATCCACCAAGCCATGAAATGCATGGGGTGACCTTGGACCAGTCACTCACTCTTACTCTCAGTGTAATTTACCATACAAGGTCACTGTGAGGACACAGGCAAAGGGGAAATTCTAGGTACATTTCCTTTTAGGCACTGGAAGAAAGGAAGCGTATAAAGGCAACTGATATAAATGAGTAACAATGGAGGGGCCTGCATTGGAGAAGATCAATAAGAAGATCAACTTCCCCGTTGATTCTAGCATACAGCCCCCAAACATGTAAAAGCAGGGAAAAAAGCAGTCACGATGACTTTGATATTAGTGGCAATTTCCAGTAGTTGAAGACTTCCTCCTTACCTCCCACAGTCCCCATGTGTTCCCAATTTTGAAGGGATTACATGGGGACCATGAGCACCTTGGCACAGAAGTGGTAAATATTTGATTTATTTAAAACTGGCACTGCTGATAATGTCACCAGCCTTCCACAGCACAATTTATATGTACAGGATTTCAGCAAGAATAACTTTAAAATCCCTTCAGATCTATAGTGCTAAGGCGACTCTAAAATGCAAAGATCCATTACCTTATGGCTGAAAATTCCAGAAATAAATTATGTCTTTCATAAAGATTTTTTTCTTTCTTTCATCAGTTTTGGATTTCCTCTCACATGAGTTCCACTGAGAAAAGTTGGGGGTGGGCTGACCTTCTCTTCCATACTTTTCACACGATGCTTCATGCATACGCTTACCTCACATCCTCCTTTCCAATTCAACTTTTTTCCCCCCAAAGGTAAGTCAAGTCACAAACTCTTTCAACTTTTCCCCATAAGAGAGCTTCTTTCACCTGCTCAGCACTACATATGAATTTAGCTTCTACAGGTTTAGCTGAGTTTTTTGTTTGTTTGTGAGACAGGCATCTTCAACAGATCTAGAAATTTTAAACAGAATTGAGAGGATAAAGGAAAAAAAATCCTACAGCTAGGTAAAGACAGCAATTTAATCCCCATCTTATTCTGATGGTGGCAATGCAGCTTCTTCAGCCAAGAGAATGTGAGAAGTTCCAAACCCAGTGGGAGAAGTTAATGCCATGATTTCTCCTCACAACAATGTTGCCCCAGTTTCCAGAAGCTTAGTACCCTGGTGGCATGAAGAGGAGGAACGGTGCAGCAGAGAAAACATAAGAAGGTGGACTTTGCAAGTCAAAGAAGGTTTTAGAGTAGTTATTACATGTGTACCAATGTCCAAGGCAATCTTATGCACATCTGTTTGGAATGCCAAGGAGTTCAGCCAGACTTAGTATCGCACAACCCTGGACAGAATTGAAGCCTTAACCCTAATAAATTCATAAATTCAGGACTTACTGCTATGTAGGTGTGAACAGTATTGTAGCCTTAATCCTAATGAAAAGAAAACAGACTTGTCAAGAACATCTCCAAAAGCCCATGGAGGAGGCATTTCCCAGTCCCATCTCATAGTTTACCTTTTGCTGTTAATACCATTCAAGGTAACTTGTGAATCTGTTAAGATTAAGGCTAAGAAAGAGACAAAGTTGTCTTTTTTAACACACTTTTAGCACAAAGAACAAAGAGATCTACTGCCTCACAGTCAGTGGCTTTCATAGTGCAAATACTTGTTTCTAAACGATAAAAAAAACAAGGTTTGTTCAAGCAGTTATACTGGATAAGTTGTTGTCCAGGAAAAGTATATACCAGGTGTGATAAAAAAAAACAAGGATTGTTCAAGCACAGTTATACTGGATAAATTGTTGTCCAGGAAAAGTATATACCAGGTGTTTTGCCCAAGGTGAAAAGAATTGTCAAAGAAAATATGAACTGTCTTCAACCAACTCTCTTTCAGTTTTACTAGCTGACCCCAGGTTTTATCCATGGAAAGAAAGTAGAGGAGACTCCTCTATCTGCTTTTTCTGCATAACAGGTAATGACATAAGCCTCTATTATACCTCCTCCTTTCCCACTTTTAGGATGCTTTTATGAACTGAAAAGCACAAGCTTTCTTCTTAGACATGATGCTCCCATTCCTGATCATGTCAGCTTCTCTTTCCTACAAGGAAGAATGTCACATTTGTTAATCCTGTATTCCAGTTGTCCTGCAGTTAAGCATATCCAAAAGGTCTGTCACCCTGGTGCTTTTTTCTAATCAGTCCCTCCAACAGCAAACTTGTTTATGTGAACAGAGACAAAACAGGAGCAGCAAAAAAGCAAGTAAGACGGCATAACACGCTCAGAAAGATCCCTTTCAAAAACCTGAAGGACTTTCTCTGTATTAAATCGAAATAACAAGGCAATCCACTCAATCACTCCCACCTCCTCCAGTACTCCTTGTTATGATCTACAGTCATTTTTAGAAAACTGCAAGATGACATTCTAGTGTACTTCCAGATTCACCTTTCCCACATCTGTACACAGAGAGTGAATAGCCCTTGGAAATTTAAAAAAAACCTCTAAAATTCCACCTCCTTTCCCATCAATTTTCTGAAGACATCTTGGATGCCATGAGCATGAACAGAAGCCAAAGGCTCTTATAATTTGACTTAATTTCAAAGTCTTTCCACATTATCAGAAAAGCTACCACTAGGTCCTTTCCAATGAGCCAATCATCAGTTAATCAACAGTGACATTCTAGGCTGTCGTTTCATTCCCCCCCCCACAAAGAAATCAAATACACAAACATTATAATCTTGAGACCTAAGAGGGAAAACTCTCAACAAAGGTCACTCTTCTATAATTATATTGGAATGAAGGTACAACAGTGCCCATTTCAGGAAACTTCAAAGGAGCAATACCTGGAAAAGTCATAACCCAATTCAATGTGCCTACCAGAAGAAAGAATGGCTCTCAGGAGAATAAGAGTATATTAGTCTTTGTATGTAATGGGCTTTATTGTACACATGGGCTTTATTGGCCAGTGATCTAGACATTGTGTTGCAACTGATAGGTTTCAGAGTAAAGACCAAAATGAGACATAAACAAGAACAATCTCTGTATATAGTAACCACCATTTTTACCTGATTGGGTCACGGATGAGTCCCAGTTCAGTGTAAAGTCCGATGACTCGCCTTCTTCAACTAGAAGGAGGGGAAAATGATACATTAATTTCAAGAAGAGGAAAGAGAAATGTAAACAGACTGGATTTTCCAAAATGGCTTAACCCACAGTAGAATCAAATATTTAATCCAATGTTTGGCTCAGAACTTGCATTACATTTGGTTACCTTCTCATGTGGAAAAAGCAAAACACAAATAACCACCCACAAGCCACCTGCCATGTCCATCCAAGGCCTGTTCCATCTGAATGTTGTGGTGCACTTTCTCAGCTTGGATTTTAGCTTGCTATTGTACATATTTAATAATCCAAGTATTTAGGAAAGAAGGAAGAACTAGGATTGGTTATGCAGAATTGTGAGGACTTTTTTAAAAAAGCAATTCCAACCACGACACAGCAATACAAAAGGTATTGATGACATTGTTTGTGTTTTATTTCAGCCAAGATAGCAATTGCTCTTTGGCTGAACTCAGGTTTTGTCTAAAAAAAGACTACAAGTGACCGTTCTGGGCACCTCTGCAAGGACGAGAAACACCACGGTCTGAAATCCAGGATCGCTGATGCCAGTGAATTTAGGCAATTCCAAACTTCCTGGACCAATGGACAGATTTTGAATTTAGCTGTTTCCTATGCTCTTATTAAAATACAAACCTAAAGTCTAAAGACCCCCCCTTCTGAAAAATGAGAAGCATTCAAAATACTTCTTTTCAAGTTCATCCTTATTCACCTTAGTATAATGGAACTGCTACTCTGTTCAAATGTTTAATCAAACACCTTTGTATAGACTGTATACAGAGAAGTTTTGAGTCTACGAGATGCTTTTGCTCTCCAAAGAGCCTGGGCTGAAATGTGATTTTATAATATAGGCCACTATGTCATTTTGAGTTCATTCCAGCACACAATTTCAACTGGATATAATGGATGTTTCTTGAACAGACCTTAAAGTAGTTTATGGCCTTTAGATTAAATTTTTATTTTCTGGAGGACTACTGCCTCTGCTTTTCCCATGGGTCTAAAACAACCTTGTTATGAGCCCACCAAATTGATGAAGGGGGTAGAGGGTGTTAAAAAGCAATTGGAAAAAGTAACCGCCTTTTTAATATGAATGATAAATGTCCAGTGTACTCCAATCAATAGTCAGTACAATTTATGAACTTTTGATGGAAAGGTATATTTATGGCAGACCTACTACGCAATTTCACCTGTTTAATGAATCCAACATTTAGCCACTTGTGTTTGGCATGCTATTACACCATTTCTCTTTTTTAAAAAACAAAACAACACTAAACTGGGGAAAGGAATGAGTATGTAACAAATTTTACAGTTTAGAACTGTGATGAACAAAAAAAAGTGGGAGAACATTCTTAACATTAAAAAAAAAAGTTTTCAACTTCACCCACCTAGCTACGTATTTTCCATCCATCATTTTCCAGCACCTTTTGACTTTGAAACTGAACTACAGCAGTAACATTCTGGTTGAAAACTACTGCCAGACACAAAACCTTAGGATGTTTCTGGAAGCAACGCGTTGGTTCTCATTTCCTTCACCAAACTAGCTACTCCCACGGGATTCTAGGTAATGCTTTTAAGACCGGATGCCATCAACAAGCAAGCATGCGATGGTTCAGATTTTCTTTCCCCAGAAAGGAAGCTCCTTGCCAACAGTGGGACAGCTTCCTTTCTGCACAGGAAGCCAAGGCAGGGGTAGATCTACGCTAAGTCTCAAAACCTTTTCAGATAGGACTCTTCCCAAAGTGAGCTACATTTTGGTGTCTGTAGGTGTAGGACTGTCAGGTGCAACTCCCAGAATGGACAATTATGGGGTTTGTAGTCCTTTTAAAAATATATATCCCATGCCCATCAGTGCAATCCACAATGGTGCAACCTATCCTGATTGTGCTGCTAGAGCATTAAACCCATTAATGTGTGTATGTCTTTGAAGTGGAACCTGCACCAAAATGTTGTAGTGCCATCTCGCTTCCAAACGTTAAGTGCTCTTATTTGTAGAATGCTAGACAGCCTTAGTCAGAAGGGCTGTTCAAGTCAGGGTGCCTCCCACTTTGCCTGTGAGGAAGGGAGAAAAAGACACCACCAAAGATTTCCCCTCCGTTCTCTAATGCAGCAAAGAGATGACAGTCCCAAACCAGAGTATTTATAACTTAAACAGGAGAAAGAAAAATTATCTCCCGCATGCTTAATCCCCTCTCCAGGAAATATACTGTAAACTGCCAAGAGCTTGAGCAAATCTGTTCCTTCTCTGCCCTCTGTTTCTTCCTTTCCTTGCTGGGAAAGGGGGCTATTTTCAACTGACCCGAGTACTCTTTGCCCAAACTGCTGTCTGCCACAGAAATTGACTGCTGCTAATTTCTTTAGATCAGACCTACCTCACTTCTTTCTCTGTAAGATCAACCAGCATCAGCATCCTCTCATCTCACAGGTTCCTAATATACAACTGCAATGGTCTTTCGAAACTAACGAAATTCATATCTTTGCAGGTTTCCCAAATGCACAGAGGCAACTGCCTTGGTTCTGGATGGCTCTGTTTTACCCACACGGTTCCACCATGAGAGTTCATTTATTGGAAAGAACAATGTCTAAGTATTAGCAATAAACATGTGTAACTAATGAGAGAACACTTGTAGAACTTTGCATCAGCTGTGTGACTTGGAGAAAACACTGGGGATGAGTAAAGTCCTTGAGCTTTAGTAGTACAAGAAAGCCCAGACTGTTTTAGAAGAATATCTGAAATAAATATAATAGGTTTACTGACAGACTGGCTCCATTCTGATGAATATTGGCTTCCCTCCTGAGCATATGGAGAAGGGAGCTTTCATAACCTAGAAGAGGGGGAGAAAACAACCCAGCGTCCACAAAGAAGACATCGAGTAACATTAATATCAGAGTTCGAGGCAGTCCTGATTAATCCTCTTCTTAAGTAGACCATCTGGATGTTACTAAAGGCCAATTCATGTTAGCAGAGCGGTTTGGGAACCATTCCACCATGGCTGTTCTCATAGTGCTCCAGTTAACATCTGTAAGAAGAAACTATGTTAAGTTGAACAACCGAGGGGCTTACTTTTAATGCCAACACCGTTCGCCCAGAGGACCTGGACAACACTGGCCCAGGAAGTGAACTTCCCAGTCACCCAACTTAATGTAGTTCTTTCCTACAAATATCACTGCTCATTAATGTACTGGGCCTTGGGGACTTCAGCTCCTACACTGCTGAGATAAGAGTTTTTTAAAATCATCATTGAATCTTTGTTCTACTCTGAGGTCACCCAGAATGGGCCAGTTCGGGTTCCCACATGAAAACACAGTCAGCAACAATAACATACATCTTATTGCATTTCATTTTTGACCTCCTAACAAAAACAATCCTTCAACAGGAGCAATTAGGAAAGAAACAGCAACGCCTCCCCTGCTCTTCTGAAAAAGCTACTGGACACAGCTTGGATAGCTTCCTTCTTGCCCCAATGACCAACATCTAAACTGGTCTATTCATCAACATAGTATCTGGTATGGGTAAATAAGGGGGGGAAAGTCTATCTGGTTGTTTTGGAAGTAAGCACTCACACTGTGGGTAAAGACACATACCTAAGATGATAAAACTGTAAGCAAATGCAACAGTCACCCTTTATTATCCTTCAATGCATGCACTTTTCAGCAAACATGAAACCTAAGAAGCATATGAAAAGCCAAATGTGGGTAAAGACACATACCTAAGATGATAAAACTGTAAGCAAATGCAACAGTCACCCTTTTTGCTATGGTTATCCTTCAATGCATGCACTTTTCAGCAAACATGAAACCTAAGAAGCATGTGAAAAGTCAAAAGATGAATCTGGCCTAAAACACCTCAAATTATTCATATGGTAAACTGCCTGCATCATGAAACTTCCATAAACCAGAAAAGTCAGCATTACAACAAAGAAGTTACAGAGCAAGGAGAACCAGATACAGGTAACGCATGGAAGACTACCATGAAACTTATGGGAAGGTACAGAAATTTGTGTATTGTCCGCTCTGGAAGGCATTCTTCGGGTGTCTTTATCTTCTGAGGGCAGGGGTTATTCTTTTTGTATAACAGGCAAGTCCAAAGCAGACAGTCATCAGTAATGGTTAGTTCCAGCATGTGTGAAGAAGGCAATCTGGTCTGAACAGACAGGATTTAAGCAGGGAACAAATCAGCCAAGCAAGGGTCAGTACTGCTAATCTAAAAGGCAGTACAAGATCTCAGCAACCTGGGTGCAAATAGAGAGGAAGAACCCAATCAAAAGCAAAACAAAGATAGGATAGTCCAGCGGGTTTCCTTGTAGGCTTTTCTGTTAGAAGGCAAAATCTAACTCATATTAACTCATTTCATGAATAAAATTAAAACAGCAATGGCCATGTTTGGCCAGGAAATAATGGAAGCTGTAGTTCTGCATAGCTGAAGAACAATAGGTTGGTGAAAGCCAAACTACTGCAATCAGAAGCAGCTCTATCATTAATCCTTTGGTTCACACCAGCAATTCAACATGCAATCATTTTTATGAAAAGTATGTGTGTACCAATGAGCTATAGTCCCATTGGGGCTATACAGAACATGTTGGGCAACGTAGCTCAAGAACGTGGTAGCTCATGAGTCTCTCTGTCCTGGATGGAAGGGGAAAGAAGAAGTCAACTTGTAGCCATCAGGCCAAAAGAACTGGCTGCTGTATTTGCAAGGTAAGGAGAGAAAAACCATCCCGTGCTTTGGGGGTATTTTCAGGTTCTTGGATCTGCACTAGAAAGCTTTCCTTTTGTGCGGATCTACTTTTAGCTTTCTCGAAGGAAGTAAAAGAGCAGCAGTCTGGCATTTTCTTAAACCTCATTGCAAAGCTCAGTGTGAGTCATGGCCCTTTGCCAGATTTTTCCATGCCACTCCTTAATAGGGCCATTATCCATCACCCCTTTCACAACAGGGCAGGCCCATGAAAGAGACAAGAGGGTGTTTTACGCCGCTTATTTAGCTAGTTCATAGCCTAAACTCATAGAGGTT